ACACAAACAGCTACAGAGCTCCCACCTTCGTCCACACCTGCCACAGTTAGGGGCAACCCTGTCAGGGTTTTCAATGCATTTTCCGTTTCCTCTTGCGCCGGCTTTTCGAGAGTCATCGCTGCGTTCCCGGTTATGGCTGGGATCCTTTCAGAACCAGACCAGACCATACCATTCTAGCTCCAGATATGTACCTGCCTGCACTTTGTCTGCATCACTTCTCACCTTTACCTTTACCTTTACCTTTGCCGCTGTCTTTGCCTTTGCCTTTGCACTTTGCACAATTTCCATTTTCTTTGGGCCTTGTTTTCGTTTGCCTTTAACTGACAATTTATCTCTGGCTGTTTGCCTAGGGGAGAGACTAGGCCTGGGATGGTGGCAGGGGTGTTACCAACGTTGTTTTCATTTTGTTTGATGGCAGGCGGAGACAGTCCCAGACAGGTTCGGTTCCTGCCCAGGCCTGGTCCAAAACAAATGGTTACTCCTCTCTCTGCCTGTCTGATTTTTCATTACTCTGTGCCGACTCGCCTCTTCGGGGTCTGTCTCTGTCTCTGTCTCTGTTTTTTCCTTTCTGTTTCTGTTTTCCTTTCATTAGTTGTCAGAGAGTGCACTCGCACTCCGCCCCTGAAGCGAGGCACCGCGTCATCCTGTCGGGCAAAGTGTTTTTAATTCTCTCATTAGTAACTGAAATTACTCCACACACACAGCCAAGATTCTGTATTATGGATGATGGATGGTGCTTGATTGTGGATATGATATGTACTCTGCAGACTCCACAGATCTGTGTGTTTCCGGTTCTGTTTTGGTTCGCTTTTATTGGTCCCTGATGACATGCGGGTTCCTTACAGCATCACTCTCTCATTAGTTTGATTGTACAGAAATTTTCTTCATAATTTGTCAATATTTAATGTTTTTACGGATCAGCTAGATGCAGAGGCAGAGGCAGCGGCAGAGGCAGCGGCAGAGGTACAGTCTGCATTTAAAGTTCTTTTGTAGGCCAACCCTTGCCTGGCTCTTGTTTGGAATTCGAGTGATATATGAGTCTCGTTTGTAATTAGATGCCATTACAATGTTTTTCGATTCCTGAATACAATCCTAAATCTAACATATCTCGAATTCCGTTTACAATTCCTATTCGTGAAGGGTGTTCCGTTTCAATGACTTTCTGCTCTACTATACGATCCATTTGACCCTTCAGAATGAACCAGATCTGGAGTCAATTCGGAGAGCATTTATATGGGGTTTAATTATAAACAGACTCGGAATTTCTTCACTCTCAAGAAAGAGCCATCTGTGCACTCTCTCTCTCTCTAGCGTTCCCTGCGATCTCTCTTCTGTCGCATAACTAATTAGCAATTAAGTATTTGCCTTCTTCTGACACGCCCCAATTACGCGTCTGCACAGCCCCAAAGCCCGAGAACGAGGGGGCAGGAGGGAAATATAGTTTACATGCTAACGGTAAAACGGTTTACAGGCGACAAATGTTCTGGGAAGCTCTTGAATGCCTCCACACCTGACTCGCATATCATTTCGTGCTCCAGCAGACACGCGGGCGTCCATCAAAGCAAATACTCGTATAATAATAGAACAAAATAAAACAAAAAACAGTCGAAAAACTCAAAACTCTTTACTATGCTTAGACATTTGTCATTTTGAGTGCGTTCCCTCCCCCCAGCCCTTCCCCGTTGAACCCCAAGCATTTGCCACTGCAGCTGCGCTTTTGGCCTAGACCAAGACCAGGCCCAGAGTCACGCTGCTGCACTTAAAGTTCGCTGCGAGCCAGAAAACAGCAGCAGAAACAGAAAGAGAAACAGAAACAGCAACTGGGATTGAGGGATAGAGAAAGAACCTGTTTTGGGCCTAGCCGAGTACACATGACATGACAGCCCATTGGCAGGCACAGTAAACGCTCGTAAATTACAAACGCAACAAATTTCATTTGTTTGCCAGAGGGAAAAATTATCTTTTACGGCTCGCACTTTGTTGTGCTTTTTATGGGAACATAAACATCACTTGCAGTACGCATTTTTGTGACTCTCCTTATTTGGATCATAATTAAACATCCCCGATAGATACTTAATATTCCATCCACAAGATTTCACTACTAGATCCTGGAGCTCTGAAAGGGATGGGTGCTCCTCCCATCCTCCCATTCCAGTGTGATCCCCTGGAAATGGGGCACTTGATAGCCATTTCTATCCCACATTCGACTCGCTACTATATTGCTGGAGTGTTTGTCTTGGGCTTGTGTCCAATGGGGGGCGACAAATGCTTTCTGGTCATGCTGCTGCTGCTCCATTGGACTAATTAAACAAAGCCCACGACTGTGTCGCTCTCTGGAGTCTTCAAGGGATATCTGCCATGCCATGACATGTGTGTGTTTTTCTAATATTGAAATGAGTTTGTTGCGTTGTTTCCTCCAATGCCCGCATCACGATGTTGCCCCCCCGCCAGCAGAAGAGCTTCGTTCGTTCAATTTGCTGCAATTGTGAGGAGGCCGCCTTAACCCATTGCCATGTCGATTACTATGGCTACAGAGGGTGGGAGGGGGGAGGTGTAGGGAGTCGGGGACAGGCTGTCAATCCAATTTTAATGAAATGTGTTACTTCGATTCCCAGGCGCAATTAATTTGCAATGTTTCAGTCGAGTAGGCATGCCACCCTCTCCCCCCGCTCAATCCCTTTGCCCGCATTTGGAATGCAATTCGCATGAAACATACAATATTTCCAGGGCATTCCGGAGTTTTGGTCAATGCTCTCTCTCTGTCTCTCTCCTGCTGCTTGGCAGTCCCTCCCCGGACTTTCTGTGTAGTTTGTGTCAATTGTTTGAGCCTGAATTGTTTTGGCAAATGTTTGAAGAGCAGCCACAGCCACAGACTCATATGAATACCATCTACGAGTACTCGTACATCTCTCTGTGCGGTTGAGAGGGGGCTGGGAGATCCCTGGGCTCATTGCACTCGTTGCACTCCCTCTCCCTCTGCATCTGCATCTCTCTCTCTCTTTGCGCTGAGCCAACTTCCGGTTATGAGCCCAGCCAACACTGAGGCTGAGCGCACCTCTCGCACTGCAATTCCTATTCCCATTCGTATTCCCGTTTACGCTTCAGTTGCTTGTTGCAATGCAGGCGCCTCACCACCCTCCGCCCTCCACTCTCCACCAGGCCCCTTTCGTGCTATCCTTTGGTGCACTTATGCCTAAGTGCAGCCGCGCTCTACGTTTTTCAAAATTAGTTGGCAGCAAAAACAAGCAGAAGCCGAAGCCGAAGCCGAAGCCAAAGGCAGTAGAGTCATAGGCACACCAGCAACAAAATGGTTTACTTGTTAGAGGTCATTAACGTTGCCATTGTTAGTGGAGCGAATGGCGGAGACGGGAGTGGGGAGTGGGAAGCGGGAAGAGCGTTAAAGGCAGGGAAAAGGTCACCCACACACAAAGTGCTAACGGATGTGGCCCCGGCTGGCTCATTAAAATCAGATTTTTGACTCTATTTTCACTGCACAAACACAAAAGGCTGAGGCCCGACCCGCTTAGAGCCGCTTCATTAATACATGCACTAATCGTGGCTTGTTCTCACTTGAACGCACCCGCTGAATGAGATATATAAATATGCAATATAATGGATATCTAAACCTTACTCATGATCGCCTCTCTGTTATCTTTGATCCATTCCAGATAGTGCCACCTATGTGGGCAACATACTGCGCATCAAGTCGGTGAAGAAGGAGGACCGCGGCACCTACTACTGTGTGGCCGACAACGGGGTCAGCAGGGGAGATCGCCGCAACATCAACATTGAGGTGGAGTTCTCGCCAGTGATAACCGTGCCACGGCCCCGTCTCGGCCAGGCGCTGCAGTATGACATGGATCTGGAGTGCCACATCGAGGCCTACCCACCGCCGGCCATTGTCTGGACCAAGGATGACATCCAGCTGGCCAACAACCAGCACTACAGCATCTCGCACTTTGCCACCGCCGACGAGTACACCGACTCGACGCTGCGCGTGATCACCATCGAGAAGCGCCAGTACGGAGATTATGTCTGCAAGGCCACCAATCGCTTTGGCGAGGCCGAGGCCCGTGTGAATCTGTTCGAGACGATCATCCCCGTGTGCCCGCCGGCCTGTGGCCAGGCGTACTATGCCGGAGCCGAGGATGTGGCTGCCACCTCCTTTGCCCTGGTGGGCATCTTGCTGGCGCTGCTCTTCACCAGATAAGCCAATGGTTCCCCCCACTGACTCTGACTACAAACGCTCCAAGTCCAAACCATCAATCAGCCCTCGAATACATAAATATATACTATACATAGATATAATATATAGTAACCTACATCATATACAAATCAATCCAACAGACGTCGCAAAATGATTCGATTCTCTTTTCCTCTGTTCCTGCCTATGTTTTGTAGTTTCTGTTTCTGTTTCATTTTGCCTTTCCGTTTCCGTTTCGCCCTGTCCAATCTTCAAACGTCCAACATTATGTCTTAAGTTAAGTACGCTAAGTGAAAGGGCCCACGATAACTACGATATAGTTTTTTAGAACCGAACCCAAAAGCCGAATCAAGCCCAGCCACCACATTCGTCCGCTTTGTTTTCTGATCTGGCTCTGTATATGTTTTAAATATGTATTTTATTCTAAGCAAAAGACAATGACGACGACGACGACGACGACACATCACAGCATTCCAATTACACAACACATCTCAGAATTATGAGAGTATTTTATGTTTATTTAATAAATATTAAAGTATTTTCGTTCTGCAAAACATGATAGACCCAAAACCTCAAAATCTGCATTGGAATCGCGGCAAAATTCATATCCGAATGAAGGCAAGCAACATCGTTGTGTACATCATTAGCTCCTAAGCGCAACTCGAAATTCTATTGAATACCGACATATTGTATGCCCAATTTGTAATGAGGGCGCAACAAAAAATCTATTTCGACTTTGTACTAAAATATAAAAACCAAAACAAAACAAAAAAAAATGAATAAAAATATATAAAAGTAAGATTTATAATTTATAATTTATTTTCCCTTCGAGGGATGTATCTATCTACAAAGTATTTTGAGCTTATGCATTCTAAGAATTGCTTGAATTATTTAGTGGCCATAAACGAACCCTCCATGGTGGCCATGCGATAATACAGATTGAACTCCGATTCGTAGTCGGAAAAGGTGCCGTTGCTGAAGACCTTTGTGGGAGGCACGTAGCGATTCAACGGATTCTCGAGTATGAAGTGATAGATGCGCTCAGCCTTTTGCAACTGAAGTCTGGACTTCACGGCGATGCCCGTTAAGCTGTCCAGCTTTTGTTCGATTTCCTCCTGCTGCCGACGTGCCTTCAGCTTCAAATCGTGCGGATCCACTGTGGAGAAGGGGTAACAACGGGGTCAGACACGGAAATGATACAAAATGTCTACTCGGAAGGGTCGAGAATGCGAGCTTACCAATTAACGGCTGCAAACTCAATTTCAAGTCAGACGTGTGTGCGGCAATTGCCGACGCCCACAAAATGCGTTTACGGACTTCCTGCAGGGCCCTGAAGGGTGTCAACAGATGGCCCGGCACCAGTTGAACGGTGGAGGCCAGCTCCTGGGCTTCAACGATGAGCGGATTGGCCGACAGCAAACCAGCACTACCAGAGAAGAGAAATTTTAAATATTAATTGCATTCATGTTGGGGGCTACGACTTTGACCCCCACTTACCAGGATCGGGGTACGCAGCTAAACTTTACCAGCGGCATTTCGGCGAACGTGTTTAGTTCGAGAAGGTGGCAGGGCACAAGGGTGCCGGGCCCAGATGTGAGAGTAACTGCCGAGCCGGCTGCTCCTGGCACCAGAGTGGAGTTGGCAATGCTGTTGTTGCCATCGAACTCAAGCTTGGTGCTACAGAACACACTGTCGTTGGCCATGTAGAAGCTTTCCGAGCTCAGCATCGACATGTTGTTGACCTTTAGCTTGGTGCTGATCAGCTGAGATTTGGCATTCTGGCTCTGGGTGGCTGCATGCATGTCATCGAGCAAGTTCTTCATCATGTTCCTCGAGAAGAGGATCTTCTCTTTTATCTGCGAGAGCTGGCCCATATCTTCCTGTATTCGATTGATGGCAGTGCTTACTGCGCTGTACACCTGTTTCACGGAGCTTAGAATTAGGTCGTGATTTTCCAGCTGCTTGGCGCCTGCCTTCAGCTCCTGGCGCAGCTGCTCAATTTGCTCGACGAGGAATTCGTTGCGGGCCATATTGAAAGTCCGCATGGTAAACTGTACAAGAAAGTCGCTGATTAGCTCGTCCGTGCTGTCCTCGTCGGTACTGGCAATCGCATTGAAGCTGTTCACCTTCTTTTGCAGCTCGTCAACAAAAGGAGTATAGTCCTCGCAGAAGCGAGCCTCCAGCTTGACCAACTCCTTATCAGCAGAAAGGTACCTGGCCGCCAGTCCGAGCATCTCCGCTTTGGTCTTCAGAAGTTTTACCTCGTAGTTGGTCAACAGGGGCTTGGCTTTTGGGGTGTTTCCCTTATTCGCCGTACTTAGTTGCGTTATATACTGAAGCTGTTTCTCCTTGATCTTCATTATTACATTGAAAAGTGGAGCACTAGGAGTTTTAGAAAAGATGCTCCGCATTTCGTTCCAAAGCCGTTCCTTGGCCTGGGCCAATACGTCTGCACTGTTGGTCTCGTCATTGCAGACACCATAAAATGTATCTAGCTCCTTGAGCGCCTGTTCCACTACCTTGGTGGCCCGCTTCTCGCTAGCGTTCTCCGAACTCAATTTGACTGGTGTGCTCGCCAAGATTTGGGCCTTGTTCCTCAGCTCCTGCTCATACGATTTTTTCATAGACTCCAGTTTCAGCTCCAGCATATTGCACTTTGACTCCAGAAGATCTCGCTGGTTCTTGGCCCTAATGGTTTGTATGTCTGCGAATAAGGTAGGAGGTTAGAAGATGCCATTTTTTCTGTGCATTGCTCACTCTTTGATTTGATGCTGGCGGAAAGTTTATTATACTCCTGTCTGGCCTCCTTCAGAGTTTGTTCTGCAGTCTCCTTCTCCTTCGTCAGCTCCTTCATTTGTTGGAGCCTTTGAAGCTGCGGTGGTAGAAGGCTGCGCGAGGCTAGGGGCACCACCTTGCCCTTATGACGCTCCACCTGGGCGATGAGCAGATTTGCCCTTACCTCCTCCACCTCTTCCCGAGGTCGAACACGTCTCTGCAGTTGCGCAAAAAGCTGGTGGGAGCCCGATTTGAAGATGCTGCGATCAGATATTTGACAATCATGAATGTCCTAGCGCCTATGGCTTCGAACTTACTTTCTGAGATCTTCATCGGCTGGTATGACACTGGGCGCACAGCCAAGACTTGTGGCCCATGCTTTAAATGCCTCAATTTTATCAGAGTGTGCCATTTTTAAAAGAATTTTTTTTTGTTGATTTTGCGCGCGGCCATTGATCTGAACGCGTCAGTGTGCCCGCGGATTTATACGGCCTGACTCTCCGAAATATACCGAAACATACCACCTCATTTAAAAAATATACCGTAAATATACTGACGAATTCAAGTTATATTTTACATATTCCTCATTTTTCATATTCCGACGAATATTACTAGCTATATAGAACATTTAGCCGTGCCCACATAATTTTAGCTCATTGATGAATCAATTTTCTACAAGATTGGTTAGTTTTTAGTCTTTGCTTTTATTGTATTTATTGTAAAAAAAGGGTTAAACAAAATAGTTCACCAAATAAACAGTTGCAATGTTGCTGGTATTTGAAGACATGATGCGTGTATAGGCCTTTGTGCACCCTATTTTGTTAATTTTTTATGAAGATCAAACGTGATTTATAAAGAAATTTTCTCAAATTGATATGTTTTTGACTTATTCATGTGTATTATTAGTATCTTGTATATATTTATCTCGATCCTGATACCTATTGAGCCTTGGAAGACAAACGTGTTCACAATTCTATAACATCCATTACCCCCAGGGTATGTGTGCATGGAATTAGCAGCATGTTTGTGTATGGAATGGGACTCATTGTTGCAAAATCGAAACTGCGGCGAATCGGGTATTGCCTATATTTCAAGCTATAGATGCCCACTTAGTTTTATCCCATAGATAAATGCATTTTCTACAAGATTGCTTCTTTTAATTACCTTAATGTATTTTATTTTGACCAAAAAACGGTTTTCAAGAAAATGTTGCTGCAACAGTGTGTATGGAATGTGCAACATTGTGTATGGAACGAGACTCATTGTTGCTAAAGCGAACTGCGGCGAACTGCGGCGAATTCAAATTCGACGACCAATTCCTCATATTCTTTGTTCCGTTGGATAATACTATTTATATGGAACATTTAGCCATGCCCACTCAATTTTGTATGATTGATGAATCAATTCTATACATGATTGGCCTATTCCAAATACTTGCTTTTATTGGATTTCTATATAAAATTGAAAATTAAATTAATAGATTGAAGAAAATGGACAAAAATACCATGGGAGCGCGGCGAAAACCAGTATTTCTGCAGTATGAACCTCAGAACAGCACCGAAATATACGGTCTCATTTGAAAAATATACCGAGTGGTGCGCGCCAAATCGAACTTTTTTGAATGTGAGCGACAAGGATTTAAATGTTGTCAACCGGGCCATTACCGATTCAACAAATACGACGATTCCCTCAATTTTAATCTTCCGTCCAAATCAGCTATATAGAACATTTAGCCATGCCCACATAATTTTATCCGAATAATGAATCAATTTTCTACTTAACTGGTTTATTCTAAATACTCGCTTTTATTGGATTTCTATATACCGTAGAAAATATGCTTCTATGGGAATGCATTCTCTATAACGATTACGAATCAGGGCTGCAAGAACAGTTTTGTTATCGAAATCGATGAGTAGGTGGACAGGCCCAAAACTGTTTCTATTTTAAATTATATGAACTCTTTATATATATTTTGTAACATCAAGAATCTAAGCCCCCAGTCCACATTGAGTAACATAAGTCTTAGCTAAGGCGCATTCCGCATTCTGCGTCCACCGATGTTCGGGGCAATTCTTAAAGTACTCCATGTATGTGCAACCGAGAACAATCGCCGAAAAGGGACTGCATTTGTGCTGTTGCTGAGATTGCTGGATGGCTGCCAGCCGACGTTGTGATTGGGGCTCACATTTGGTAAACGCTGCTGTCATCGCCTCTACATAAGCAGTGTCATTGGAAAACTTTCTGGAGAGATCACTGCGGATGTTGTCGAAGTTGAGCTTCTGTGGATCCTGAATGTACTGTGACGTTGTGAGGATGCACTCAGCCAGACACTGTATTGCAAGTGTAATATTTAATCTCTATATGTTTAGAATTTTTGACAATGAGTACTCACTGTGGCAGTTTCCAGCGATGGCAGGCCTTTCCTAGCCTGTGCATTTGCTCCTCCTATAATCCTCTGGGCGCATTTCTCTGCAACCTGGTCCCGACCACCGTCCCTGCAGCACAATGCTGGATCCTATCAACGCGAAAGACTTTAATGCTGTCTCCAATTAAATATTTTCCATAACCACACATACCACAAGTTGGGGTGGTCGTTGACAGTCGATTGTCTGACCTAGCACGCTTTGAGTGCTCAACGCCACACCGAGCACTACAGAAATTAACAATATCTGACTTGGTGACATTGCTGTGGTTAACCGAATGATTGGATTGGAGACAGACTGTCCATTTTATATGTCCCACGCAGCTTGGCATACTCTAATGGAACGCAAAGAGCAATCCATCCACTTAATTGTGCCAGCCACGCATGACCAGAAAACCTAGCAAAGGTTCATTGTTGCAATCGAATGCTGTTTGGGGCCAATGTCATATCTAATTTCATATTTTGGGCCATTGACACTGCACTAAGGTTAAAGTTTAGTTGTATATTCAAATATAGAATACTGATCGGGCAATTAAACAGCAATTGCTAGAACTTTTAACGTGAAATTCCCAAATGATCGCTATGGTTGCGATAATTATGGCTTAGATACATGAATTACATAATGATATAAATTTACATAACCATAAACTATATATTATTTCTTAATGGTAATGCTTTGATTAGCAGATTTGTGGCACGTGTAAATTGGTTATTTTGAACTTATTCAACGGTTCGCTCAAACAGCGCAATTATTCGCAGCCAGTTGGCAGCACTCTTTGCGAACCACTAATCTGAGCTGAACCACCTATCGGAACCAATGGACGCGGGCACCAAAATGTAAGTTAAATATAATAAAATTATACAATTAAACAGCAATTGCTAGAACTTCTAACGTGAAATTCCCAAAATGATCGCTATGGTTGCGATAATTATGGCTTAGATACATGAATTACATAATGATATAAATTTACATAACCATAAACTATATATTATTTCTTAATGGTAATGCTTTGATTAGCAGATTTGTGGCACGTGTAAATTGGTTATTTTAAAATTATTCAACGGTTCGCTCAAACAGCGCAATTATTCGCAGCCAGTTGGCAGCACTCTTTGCGAACCACTAATCTGAGCTGAACCACCTATCGGAACCAATGGACGCGGGCACCAAAATGTAAGTTAAATATAATAAAATTATACAATTAAACAGCAATTGCTAGAACTTCTAACGTGAAATTCCCAAAATGATCGCTATGGTTGCGATAATTATGGCTTAGATACATGAATTACATAATGATATAAATTTACATAACCATAAACTATATATTATTTCTTAATGGTAATGCTTTGATTAGCAGATTTGTGGCACGTGTAAATTGGTTATTTTAAAATTATTCAACGGTTCGCTCAAACAGCGCAATTATTCGCAGCCAGTTGGCAGCACTCTTTGCGAACCACTAATCTGAGCTGAACCACCTATCGGAACCAATGGACGCGGGCACCAAAATGTAAGTTAAATATAATAAAATTATACAATTAAACAGCAATTGCTAGAACTTCTAACGTGAAATTCCCAAAATGATCGCTATGGTTGCGATAATTATGGCTTAGATACATGAATTACATAATGATATAAATTTACATAACCATAAACTATATATTATTTCTTAATGGTAATGCTTTGATTAGCAGATTTGTGGCACGTGTAAATTGGTTATTTTAAAATTATTCAACGGTTCGCTCAAACAGCGCAATTATTCGCAGCCAGTTGGCAGCACTCTTTGCGAACCACTAATCTGAGCTGAACCACCTATCGGAACCAATGGACGCGGGCACCAAAATGTAAGTTAAATATAATAAAATTATACAATTAAACAGCAATTGCTAGAACTTCTAACGTGAAATTCCCAAAATGATCGCTATGGTTGCGATAATTATGGCTTAGATACATGAATTACATAATGATATAAATTTACATAACCATAAACTATATATTATTTCTTAATGGTAATGCTTTGATTAGCAGATTTGTGGCACGTGTAAATTGGTTATCTTAAACATATTCAACGGTTCGCTCAAACAGCGCAATTATTCGCAGCCAGTTGGCAGCACTCTTTGCGAACCACTAATCTGAACTGAACCACCTATCGGAACCAATGGACGCGGGCACCAAAATGTAAGTTAAATATAATAAAATTGATATTATATTACTTAAAATTGATTGATTAATTAATGCAATGTTTTTCAACTCACAGATTAGTTGTGGGCGATGTGCGGGGCCGTTTCAAGCAGTTATTCCAGCGGGTGGAAACGGTCAACAAAAAAGCGGGACCCTTTGAGATATTGTGCTGCGTCGGAGACTTTTTTGGCGATGATAAACAGAACGAGGAGCTGATTGCCTACAAGAATGGATTCAAGCACAGTAAGTACTACAGTTTAGTGTCGATTTATATGTTTACATGGTCAATCTGCAGTCACAGTGCCCACCTACATACTCGGTCCAAACCAGAAGGAGCATGAAAAGCATTTTGAGGATCTGGCGGATGGTGAAATATGCACAAACCTCACATACCTTGGCAAACGAGGGGTGTACACGCTTACTAGTGGCGTTAAAATAGCATATTTAAGTGGCGTGGAATCAGCTGGTTCTGCAGATTCAGCTAAGTCAAACCACGAGTTCACTAAATCTGATATTTTTGCCGTCAGAAATTCGTGCTTGGTGTCGAAGAACTGCTCCACCGAGTACAGAGGAGTGGACGTACTTCTCACATCGCAATGGCCATACGGGATGCAGGAGAATGCGAATGTAGGTGCTTATTAACCAGTATGTGGGTCTGTTTATCAATAATCTATTCCAGGAAACAGCATCCAAGTTGATATCGTTTCTTTGTCGGGAGATCAAGCCACGCTATCATTTTTGTGCCATCAACGGCACCTACTTTGAGTGCCCGCCATTTCGTATGCCAAAAGATGAGACCACGCAGTTTGAGCTCTGTACCCGATTCATCTCACTAGCTGATGTGGGAAACAGTGAAAAAGCAAAATATATATACGCGCTCAGCCTAAAACCTGTCGACAAGTCCCGACTGCTTGATCTGGTACAGAAGACAACCAATGAAATTCCGTGTCCCTATGCTGGGCTAGATTTGTGCGGAACCGTCGACAAGAATGACACAGTGGGTATTCCTCGTATTGCGTTTATCAGTGTTATTAAAGACATAAACTTTTCAGTCGGAAACCCGCCAATATTTTTACGATATGGAAAAAAAGAAATCAAAAGGACAGCGTGGCTATGGGAAAAAGCGGCGTATGCAAGAATTGAACCAGGGTAAGCCAATAGTCAGTAGCTCGTATTGTCGTTTCTCATATTTCATACAATTTCAGAAAAATGCTGGTTCTGTTTGTCATCGCCCGATGTAGAAAAGCATCTCATTATTACTATCGGGGAACGTTTCTATCTGGCCCTGGCCAAGGGCCCAATAAATAGGTACCATGTCATGATATTGTCCACAAAGCATCTTCCCTGCGCAGCACAACTAACCACAGAGGATTGGGAGGAGCTGGACAAATTTAAAAACTCCTTGCGAAAGTTCTTCAAAACCATCGGTCAAGTGGTGTGCTTTACGGAACGCCATTACAAGTCGTTCCACCTACAGATCAATGTGCTCGGTTTCGAGGAAGGTTATGCATGGAAGATAAAGCATAGTTTTGAGGTATGCAAATCTCCACAAGATCCTCTATGAACCCTGCTAATTATTCGCTTTAATCATTAAGGACAAAGCGGAGGAATTCAATCTTCAATTTGAGACGCTACCGGCATTAGATTCTCCGAAAATGTTACCAGAAATTGGACCTTATTTTCTGGCCGAGCTCCCCGATGACAGCACGCTCATTACGCGGCAGATGAATCACTTCCCGCTGCATTTCGCAAGGTGCGTTGAAGTTTAAAGTTTATTAACATTGTTATTTGATTAATCTATTTTCCAGGGACGTTTTCTGTTCGGAGAATCTTCTTAATTGTGACGAAAAAGTCAACTGGAAGGAATGCCTTCTCGAGAAAGACGAAGAGACGACTTATGTTTCAGACTTCCGGAAGGGGTTTGCCCCATTTGACTTCACTGTCTAAGTGTTTATATTAAAAGAATGTAGGTATAATAAAGTTATAATATCGTTTGTAATTGCTTAACCCATTCATTTTATGCATTGTATAATATTGACCCTTGTATAAATTCTAAAGCTATAATTTAAGAAAAAACGTTCTCGTCTCAAATTGATGGATATGAATAGATTAGGAGTCTCGCTGGTAGATTTTGTTGAGGATTTGCAGGAAAGTTTGGTGGGGAACACCGCGCGATGTTTGCTGTATGTGCGTTTTAATCATGTTGTACGACTCCTCTTCGAATGTGGCAAAAGTAGTTGGTAAGCCGATTTCCTTGTAAAGCTCCTTAACACGCTCCACCTTGACTGGATCTGCATTGGAAAGTTTCAATTATTACCAACGGATTTCACTGGCTAAGTAGTTCCGATCGTCTCACCATTGTTTCCATAGCAATCAACCATTATTTTCTTTTGTTCGGCATTGGCTCGCTGCATGGCCACCACGGCTAGCCAGGAGCATTTGTTGTCCTGTATGTCGGTGCCGATTTTGCCAGTCACCTCCGGATTCCCGAAGCAGTCAAGGAAATCGTCTTGCACTTGGAAAAAGTGACCCATTTCCAGGAGAATGGTCTTTGATTGTCGGAAAGCTTCGGCGTCCTTATATCTACACGAAGAAAGGACCTATTATACAGAATATCCTGACAATTGCAGTATAACTACGCACCCAGCCAAGTGTAAAGCAACAGCAAACGGCAGATAGAATGAATAGTAGGCAGTTTTGTTGTCCACAATTGCTTTGTAGTTCTCCATAGTGAACTCGGAAACACTTCGATGCGAGTTGAGCTGATCTAGGGACTGGCCACAAGTTGTTATGTAGGTAATCTCATGGAAAAGCTCCATGAGCGCCACATAGCAGTCTAGGTGGCTGAAATGCATCTTCAATATGGCATACATGGCATTCTCAATCATTAGAGCATCATTGATGGCCGTCAAGCCAACGTTCTCAACCTTGTGCCAGCACGGCTGGCCGCGTCGTGTTGTGCTGTTGTCCATCACGTCGTCAGAGATTATGAAGAAGCTCTGAAGCTGCAATTATAATGTGACTCTGATTATGTTTGGCGTTCTTAACAATATACGAACAAGACGTACCATTTCCACACACCATCCCAGGTACTGGGCCAGCTTTATGTTTTCTGGGGTCAGATCTTCGGCGGGCACCAGATTCTTGTAGGTGAGCACTGTGAGTATGCCGCGATTCTTTTTACCCCGCGGTACATTGTATTGCAGCACCTTGGCAAACCACTTAGCGGCATCATTGCAATTATAGGTCTTTGTCACGGTAGTGATGTCACGCACAAGATCTGCAAACGCATTAGAATAAAAATTAGTACTATTATGCTAATTGGGGGAAACAAAGGTGGAGCTCACCGGGGAACACAGCCATAAAGTCGCGACTTTCATCTTTTGACACTGTGACGCGGGCCGCAATTGGAACAGAGTGATTTTGAAGCGTTGATAATGTTCTGGAGGAAAACAAAAACACAAACAATAGAATGCAATACAAACACATACACACACGGCTGAACACAATATGGGTGTATCTTTGGCCTACGTGACTCCGTTAGTACTCGTACAAACAGCTTTCTCCCACAGACTCCACGCCCATCACCAACTACGCAGAGCAGAGCAAGTGCACAAGTGCCCCCAAAGCCAATGTAAACAAAAATAGACAAAGTTCAAGTGCAGAAACCGGTAGATTACCTGCTGGTCTTCTTCAGCTTCTGCTCGTTAACAAGTTCCGTGGACAGGCCGCCAATCGTTTCCATGGATTTGATAATAGGCTCCGCGTTGACTTCGTCGCTGGTGGAGATTAGTCGGTGAAGACGCAGCGGATTTGGGAATATCCGCTGCTGGGGAAGAATCCGACGAGCTAGTTTAAACATTTTTATTCACAATATTATCAGAATTCTCTCCGTTAACGACAGCTTCCCTTCCGCCCCTTGACCAAAAATTTAACTTCTAATTTCCTAACGTTTTCAAATACTGGTGAACAGCACAGATTATCGATAGCAGACTCAGAGATGCAAAGCAGTGCTGCCATTCCAGCATACTTCGGGCTATATCTAGCATTTTTTAAATGGAGGCAGCTTGTTTTAGCTTTAAATGTTTCTTGCTTGAAAATTTACGGTGAAGTTGACTCTGTTTCTAATATATAGCTAATTTAGATAAAAACATTAAAGTCACCACCTTGATATTTTTGGGGTGTATTTTGTTTTAGACTCGTTTTTGGCTAATTTTTTCCGGTTTTACCATATTTTTTTATGTTTTGTGTTAATCTAGCCTGTATTGTTCTGAAATCTTGGCAGCACTGAGTCTCCTAAGTGCTGCAAAACGTTCAAGCACAGTGCTGAAAATGGCCTGATGCACACGGAAAGCGAAGAATCGCCAATAAAATAATAAAGGTGCGAAAATGATGGACGAACAACTAATTGATGAAGTGGCGCAACATGGGGTCATTTACAACAGGCAGAAGTACTACCTTAACGGCAGCGCCAACGGTGTAAAGTATGAGACAAAGGATGACGCCTGGCAAGTGATTGCCATGAAGCTGCGAACGGACGGTGAGAGGAAGATTCGACTTTATACAGACTTTGATATTTAATGATGAATACAAATGTTTTCCCCCTTGCAGTGGACACGTGCAAGAAGCGCTGGAAGTATCTGCGGGAGCGTTACGTCTCGCAGCGGAAGCAGGGCGATACTCCAATTTACGAGCACCTGTCACGCCCCTACCTGGAGAAGATGAAGTTCCTGGACCAACACATTCAGCCACGAAAATCCTATCGCAATGTGCCGAGTTTCCTCACGTCTCCACAGTCGGCTAACAGCTCTAGTTACAACGAATACATCGTGGATAAATCAAACAGTTCCAACAAGAACATGTCCCAGTTTAACTCGGGCTCGGGCCAAAACCATCACTACCATCAGCCAGATCAGCAACAAGCCATGAATGCACTGAGCACCGTTGCGACCTCAGCTCTTGAAAATTCTAATCCGGTAAAGATCGAGGCTGATCAGGCATTCAGAGAGTTTGCTGCGGCTGTGGCCTCCCAGCAACTCCAGCAAATCTCCCAGTCGCAGATGCAGCAACAGGCGGCTGCCGTTGCTGCTGTTATGGCTGACTCCTCGCAGGGCTACCAGGAGCAGTATCGAGACAGTTCAGTTGGCCTAGCTGGCCCACAAAACAGTGGAGGCAGCCTTGCCTCAACGTCATCTTCGATGAAATCGCCGCTGTCCTCGCCGTTACAGGGTATTAGTGCTGCCCAGCAGCAGAATCAGCATCAACAGTCGCCGGCGTCTGCACAGCAGCTTCCGGTGGTACATTCCTCATCTAGTGTGGCAGGCAACTCCACAAACACCAGCTCCAATATTCAGATGCAAGGCCATGTCTATAATCCCAAGGGAAACGAAGATTTGGACTCGTCAGCATCCAGCAACTTCCACTTGAAAAAGCCTCGCGTGCAGCTTAACGGCAGTGCTCATAGCCAAATGTCAAGCAATGGAGGCAATGGGCCCCACTTTATCAACGACTCCGATGAGGATTCCGATGACAATAGTCATGACCTTATGGAACCCCAGGCCATGATGCAGCACGGCAACCACTACAACAACTCTATGGCCATGCAGCGCACCAATGGCCATAGCAACGGCAATGGCAACGGTAATGGCAACGGCAATGGCAATGGCAATGGCAATGCAAATAGCAATGGAAATCCGAATAATTCCAACGCTGGACACCACAGCAACAATAACCAACAGCAGCAACAACATCAACAGCACCAGAACATGTTTCCATCGAATACGGACTTCCTGTTGCAGCTTTATCAACAATTCCCACACCAGGGCAACTCCTCACATCCCTCGAACTTCGGGAAGTTCCAGCCCCCTCAAAGTCTTCCAGGCGTGCAGCGACTGTCAGAGCACCTTCTAGGTGAGCTGGTCACCACCGAGCTGCTAAAGATGAACAAGGAGCGCAAAAAAAGCGCGCAGAAGAGAATCCTGGAGATACTATTCTTTGATGATTAGTCAGACTAGCCGCCTATATCTTTGTAAATAGTCTAATCTATAATTTATATTATTCGGTAAGAGCGTCGGGGCTCACATTCACTTCAAGGGCCCACAATACTGTGTCGGGCTGGTCTGCATCCCACCAAGAAGGCATTTGCAAAGCTCTCCGGTCGAACACTTTCCATCTGTACTAGTCATGACCAACACCAGGCCCTACCCATTGGTACTAAATGGGATCGATCCCGTGTATGCATTAATTTATGTTCGTGTATCTAACAAAAGGATTTAATTTATTCTGAAATGTTTATTAAACTGTGTACGAATTATAAAACTCTGAATCTAAGAAGTGTACTTTTGAGATCCGCATTTAACATATAGTTGATTGTGCAGTTCATGAGACTCTCTCTCCGTTTTGCGTGATTTGCGTTTTGGTATCTGTCCTGCTGTTTGATTTATATGCCGGCCTCTGACCGATCCTGATTCCCCTTCTGCTCTATTGATTGCTGGAAAACATCATGCTGGGCCAGAGATCATATCTTCAAGCAGTGGCCCATTGGCTACTGTCCGCAAATGCAGCTTGGCCCGCTCGTTAACCCAAAGCGAGAAGTTGCAAAGCTGCTTACTGTTGCCACTGGCGGACATCCAGCCTCCGTTTGGGCCCTGATTAATTGCTGCCTCTGCATTCCTTTGGAGGGGCAAAGTCGAGATAATATTTTATATGGATATGTTTGGGCTTTATTGCATTTAATATATCTTAGCTCGTATAAAGAATAATTGTTTATTTGTGTTGCTTGTTCTGTTGTTAGCCTTAGATAAACTATGTTTAATAGCATACGTTCATAAGAAGAATGTTTGATATTATATATGTATACGATAATATTCGGACCATATCGTAGGGCTGTAGTGCACTTCTTAGGCTAGTTGTTGGACCCAAGAATATTCGAGGGTCCCCGACGCATTTAGCTAGCGTATAAATACATACATATGTATAGTGAGTGATCATATTTCTGATTGTTGGATTAAGTGGAGTTTTATAACTGTTAGCTTATTTACAACTAATCACAAGAGGACGATCAGATTTCCGATTTCAGATATTCTTGTGCACTTTTAGACCTCCTGATTGTCTTCTGACTCGTCCACCATGGTCAGACTTCGCAGCGATCTGTGGGATAAGCATGGAATGAGAATGAAAGCCAACTTTAATCAGCAATTTAAAATAATTTAAAGCAATTTAGTATTCGTGATAGAGTGAGAGTTGCGCACAAGATTCGTTCCCCTGATAGGGCTTATCGCATCTCGGACCTCAGCTTGACTTTAGTCTCGATTTGTCCGCCAATATAAGCGCATATCAGCATGAAACACTTGCGCCTCTTTCTCGTTCTATTATTAGTCTGGTTAGCCAGTGCCCAAAACTGTAAGTCGCGCCTTTCGGAAGTGAATGAGAGTTAATTTTTGTTTTGTTTAGTTTTAGGCGATTTGCCTACGATCCCGAACGTGTGCCACCTGCAGGGTGACTGGTGCTCCACCAGGTGCCAGATAGCAGGCGGACGGGATGGCATTTGCAACCCGGCTGGACTCTGCACTTGCCATCCCTTGTGATTGTGTGATTCTAGTGACACATCGAAATAAAAGAGGCCAGGATCTTGAAAATATTTACAATTGCGTACGGCTGTGGTGGATGATGACGCTTGGTTTGATTCAGGTTTCCTAGAAATGGGAGTGGTCTGGAGCCCGACTTGCCTGGAGCGCTCAAAGAGCGAAGGATCAGTGTAGATGGGCTCGCTGGGATCCTCGAACTGGTGACTGCTCTGTCCCGTCGAACGCAGGGGATTTATTACTGGCAGCTGACACATGCGCGCCAAGTTGCTGTAAAGACATTAAACACCCCATAAGTGGACCGGTTCGGCTGGCTGACAGACCGGCAGACCGGCAGATAGTGATCCTCACCCCGTGGCAAATGTCTTGTGTAATGAGCCGCCAAACATGGACATGTTTGTGCGAAAGGCGTTCGAGGCCCGATTCGATGCACTCTGATTGGCTCCGCCCCCAGCGCCTCCACCTCCTCCAGTCATGTTGGGCATGTGTCCGATCTCTGTGAAGCGCTCGTGTGTGCGTATGGAAGAGTGGGAGTGGCCCAGCGAGTGGATCGGCGAGTGGCGGTCCACCAGGCGATTCTTCGAGATGGATTTCCAGTAGCGTCTGAGGGAAGGTCATAGTTGAGTACTGACAAATGTCTTTGCTCCTCCGATCTCACCTGTAGCCCAGGCCGGCAACCAGCGTGATGCTGAAGAGCAGGATCATCAGCAGAATGATGGCCGTGATCAGACCATGGTACTCTGCCGGTGTCATGCACACCGTCTCCACGGGAGCCACAAGTTTGCGGGGATAGGACTCCTTCTCGATCTCCTCGCGCGTCTCAAAAACCTACAAACGATCATTTAGTAATCAGTCAATCAGGCATACACTCTTCTCGCTCCATCTCTCCAAATGCTCACTTCAATCATTTCCCGCACTTGCTCCGGTTCCTCATTCTCCTTGGACTTCTCTCCCGTGTGCGTCTCATTTAGCTGGCTCTGCCCCAGTGTGGCGCTTACCGTGGTGCTGTTCACTATGATCACATCCTCCGAGCTGGCGGCATCTTCCAGCTGCTTGATTCCTTCCAGAGCCAGGGCCTGAGCTCCGGACCCGTCCTCGGAGACAGGTTCGAGTTCGGCCATGTCGGTGATGTTCAGCGACCGTCTGCGGCGCCCAAACGAGGGCTCCTGTCGACCCGCTGGCCCTGGGCAGTATGCCGGCTGGCACCCCTCGCGACATGATCGGACTGTGGCCTCGAAGACCAAGAAGTTCGATTCGGGTATCTTGAACGCATTGAAACGAGCCTCCAGGGTGTCGCCATCGCGCAGTTTGTCCAGCTCCGGAAAGACGAAGGGATCCACCGGGCAGCTGAATTTTCAAAGGTTAGCAAAGATTGAGCATAATGATGGGCAGACTTACCCAAAGCGGTCTATAAGCTGAATGCTCCGACCCGAATAAGGGTCTCTGGCCACCACATTGGTAGCGAAAATGTCCGTAACATGATTGTATCCATCCTGGGCCTCCAGTCGGAACGTTAGGGGATCCCCCACGGCTATTGTGGTGGTTGGTCTGCCTTGGTACAGAATGCTGAGGCGAACCTTGGAGCTTAGCGTATTCTCGGCTGGAAGGTACTCTATGGGAATAGGACTGCCGGATCTGCAAGCCCATAGGGATCGTACATATAAAAGACCACGGGGACAATGCTATGATATAAGTCGAAATCTGCATTCCTTACCCTGCTCCAATGTAGCCGGAGCTCACAACGGCTTCACCGGGTCCTCTGAAGATGCAGGTGAGATTGTAGCGCTTGTCGCGGCTCGTTTGAACATTGTCCGAGAACTGGACCACCACGATGTTGGTTAGAGTGTCGCCGTACTACAAAACAAGATCAATGATTGAAGGCCTGATGCTGAGCTCTGACCAGTGTTTGACTCACGCGTTGAGTGCCGCAATCGGGATAGCCTTGGGGGCCACTGATCCTCAGGACGTTGACGGTGCCCCCGTTGCCACGGAAGAAGCAGCGATCGTAGAAGCCGTAGGTGTAGATGCGTCCCAAAAAGCCCTCTGGCGTACGGATAGTGAACTCCATGCCCTCCTCGTTGCAAGTCTGCGTCACTGCGGGGTGGAGGTGGGGTCATTCAATCATCTGTGAGCTCTTTATTCAATTAAATATTATACTCGTACCGTCCATACATTCGCCGTCGCTGCGTCCGATACTGCGCTCATAGAAATCATAGTTGGAAGCGTCGAAGGTGCCCGGATCGTGGATGTCCAGCTCCCGCGAGTCTCTGTCGCTCAGCTCGCAATTGGAGGACTCCCTATCGCGATCTCGATCCTCATAGCTGGAGGCGGCTGTGTCTCTGCAAATTGAATTCGCGTTCGCTTATTTGTAGTCGCTCTTGTATCGGCGTCATGTATCTCCCATCATTCCATCTCCAATCCCCCATCCTCCACACCACCACACCCTAACACACACATACCTGTAGTTGAAGCTGCGGCACACAAAGTCGCGGCTCTCGATGCACTCGCGCTCGCACTGGATCAGGCTGGGCACGACTAGTGTGCGACGTACGAAGTGGCGACGCATCTTGTGCCTGGCGGCTATCTGCTTAAAATTGTCGCTTTCCTCGCAGCGGGTGATCGGCGGCCGTGGCGGCCCCGCAGCAATCCCAACGCCCACACCACCCACATGACCACCACTTCCCCCGTAAGCTGTGGGCGGATGGGACAGACCGATGCCGGGCAGCGGAATGGGACGATCATCGAGACCGTTGCCGATCCCACCTCCATATGGGCGATTAAAGGGAGTGTCATAGCGTCCGTAGGGACCACCCACAGGGGGTCGTCGACCCGGGGGACCATCGTACTCGCGATCATACGGCCCGTACCTATCCCCATAGCGCTCCTCATAGTCGTAGTCGTAGAAAGGGGGCGGGCGATCCAGTCCTAAATGAAGAGTCTGTGTCAGTGCTGATCTTTCCCGGGACGGCTGTGCCTTTCCACATGGGGGTGTTAATGGTGTTTGGGTTGGTAGTTGGTTAGTCCCGAGTACTTACCCGGGCGTCTGCCTAGATCGCTGGGTCCCAGACGATTGCCGTACTTGTAGATGTCCATGGGATAGCGATCGTTACCTACCGGGAATCGGTTCGGAGTCGAGGCGTATTTGCTGGCGCTGCCCGTGGGTGCAATGGGGGCCGGTGGATAGCGCTTTGCTGACTCCGGCTCCGGCCGCCTGGCGCTGTGCACAATATCATCGTATCGCCCTGGTGGTCCTCTCGAGTCCGGCACGTATGGATATCTGGCCGGGTCCATGGAGGAGGGCCGATATCGTCTGTCCGGAAATATGCTGTCTGGGGCATCCCGCCCAGTGTAGCCACCGATTGGATCTCGCTCCCTGCTTGGTGGCGGGTAACGTGGGGGATAGCGACTGTCATATCTGTTGTCTCCATAGCGGCTCCCGCCATAGCCGTAGGGTCTGAAGGGAGCATCGTCATCCGTAGGATAGGGCCTTGTGTGTGGCAAATCACTGGGCAGAGTGTTGTCATTGATTCCCGGATACGGCAGCGGACGGAAGGGCAATCTATCTCGGTCCCTCTCTCTGTCCCTGTCCGGATAGCGTCGATCTCCATACCTATCTGCATAACGATCCGGAGGCGGATATCGATCAGCGAAACGATCTCGATCACGATCACGTTCCCGATCACCTGGATAACGCTCACGATCACGTTCCCGATCGCCTGGATAACGCTCTCGGTCGCGGTCTCGATCACGGTCTCGATCACCACTGGCACCCGTTGGGTACCGATCTGACGTGGGGTTAGTAAATTAGTTGTCAGTACGGCGAGGTGATCTCAATTCATTGTTTTAGGTGTCATTAATTGATTTTTAGGGTGCCATATGGTACAGAGAGAAGTCACTTACCGTAATCGTCGGGATAGCGATCGTAGGGTCGGCCATATCCCATGCCATCGCCTCCACCGCTGGGATAGCGGGAGCCTCCCGCTTGGCCGTAGCGATCAGGGGGATAACGATCACGATCTCGATCACGATCACGATCACCGCCAACACCAACGCCAGCACCAGCACCTCCATACGGATATCGATCTGCTGAAGAACGAGTTATAGAATATCATCTGGATAGAAGAGAAGAACTAGGTGGATATATGCATACCATATTCATTGGCCGCAAAGTCTGGATAGCGATCGTACGGGCGGCCATAGTCAATGCCCTCGCCCGCAGGCAGTCGGGAACCGCCTGCCCCAGTAACCGCTACGCCATGCGATCCGCCTCCACCGGCAGTTGAACCAGCTGACCCATAGCGATCGTCGTGCTTATTAGGCTGTCTCCAGTTGCTGCCCGACTGATCTCCAGGTCGCTTGCCGTCGCCGCCGCTGCCACTGTGGCCAGCATCGCCATCGGCGCCGCCTCCGCCCACCACATTCACTGGAAGATAGACAGGAGAAGCCGCAGCAGAAGCAGCCAGAGCCAGAGATTACTAGCCAGTCCATTAGCACCTCCTCGTAGCCACTTACGCATTAGATTCTCGTAGTAATCATAATCAGCATCGTATATAATGCGCATGCCGTCCTTTTGATTGTACCGACTGAGGCGACAAGTACGAAAACGATCGCTATACACCGCAGACCTGCAATTTTGTGCAATCGGAGAGTGAGAGGAGCCAGGAAGCGGGACGGGTACGCGGTACGTCGTTGGGTAGTAAGGCAGAAGACGGCAAAAGCAACAGTAAAACAAGTAAGACTCTAAGTAAGTGCTCTCTAGTCGAGTCTACTCTCCGACTATTGAATGCCCTGGCAGCTATTTAGGTTCATTATACAAGTACCTGATGATATTATTCTGATACATATATGGTGTATAAGAAATAGTGGCATAAACTGATCTGATTTTATCAAATACAAGAGCTTAAAAATATGTGTCAATTGGATGGGTCTCAAGGTGTTCATACGGACGTACAGGAGCATTGATCATAAGTTCGAATATCTGTAGTCTTTTGCCTGTCACATAGACCAACTCTAGTACCATATACCCGTCTGTTTGAAGAGTAGAGGGTACAGCAAGAAATACAACGGTTAAGGCCAAGACAACGGCATGAAACGCACCTGCATTGGAAGCTCGTCTGGCGAAGACACTCGTCCAGGCACTCGCTCAGAGAACGGCCGGTGATCTCCGAGTGAAACTCGCCGCCGAGACGCGAGTTGCGGTAACGCTGGAATGCTGTATCTGGCCGACGGCCGCTCGAGAAGAGGTGCGAGGTGACGGAGTTGTCTGGATAATCATTGGCTCGTTCTGCAACGGGAATACAACATACAACATAACATAACAACATAGAATAGACATTGAAATGGAAGTGGAAATGGCACAGAAGAAGCAACCGTTGCGAGGCTCCACTATAATCTTGTTGTCGCCGTTGTCGTTGGCTCCAAGTGAGCCTCGGCTGGAGTGGGAGTAGAAGTAGAAGTGGTGTCTTTGCACGGGAGCCACTTACGATTATCTAGGCACACAAGATCATAGAAATGATGTGTTGGACTGGAGCTGATGCTAATGTCATCCTTCTGCGAGATGGAGTCCTCCTCGGAGAGAATGCACTGCTTGCTCTGATCGTCGAACTCCACGGAGCGGCAAAAGTATCTGCAATTGGTGTTATTAGCCAAATGACAATGGAATAGAGGCATTAGGCCAGATCATACTTCTCGGCACGCAGGCACATGGTCTGGCACTCCTCCAGCGTCATGTTGTTGAAGATGTCCACCTCGAAGGGGCCACCCAGTCGCTTGTTCTCCTCCTTAACGAACACGGCCAGGCCATCGCAGCGCCTCTCAGCTGTTCCATGGATGGGATTAGAGTGTATTAGACCTACATGAAGCGGGCGATCAGAGCGGATCTCACCATTTAGGCAGGTATTCTCCAGGTAGTCCGAGTTGGGATCATCTTCCATCAGCTCGGGATGGGTGCGTCGGGTGAATCGGCTGAGCGTGCAGGAGCGCATGGTAGAGTCAAAGTTCGCCGAGCGGCAGACAAACGAAAACTCGTTGAGGCACTTGTCCTCGCAGTCGGACCGATTGGCGGCCGTGATCTCCTTGATGTCGCTTATCGGAAGCTTTAGCTTCTTCCTCGGATGCCGCTCGAACACGTACCTCCTACTGGGACACTCCCGCTCCGGTCGACTGGCTGCAGTAGAACGGGGAACATTACGTACAATTCCAGTCAAATCCATAACCAAAACCATTCGGCTTTGGCCACTCACATGTCAGACAGATCTCGTTGAAGTGGACGCTGTTGGGCACCAGCATCAGGCTGCCAATGCCCTCGGGACCCGCCTGCTCCGAGGTGAGATAGCACAGCGACTCCTCGTACTCGGAGTTGCCGCCAAAGGAGGTGATCCGACTGCCCGGCTGGAAGTCAAAGCTGGTGCAGGTCCGTACCATATTGTTCGTGCCCGTTCGGTCGCGCAGGCACAGATCCTGGCACTTCTCCAGCACCCGGAAGGGGGGAGCTGTGTCCCGCACCACATCGTCATCGTAACCCTGGAGCTGCTGGTTGGGCAGGCGCTCGTAGAGCACGCGCCCCAGGCCATTCTTGCAGGTGGTTTGGCCTGGCCAGGAGAGAGCATCTTAGACCAAGCCCACGAACAGTCTCGCTGTTTCACTCACCTTGGATTGCTGTCAGGCTGAGGCTGACCAGAAGGGTCGTCAGTAGCGTGTCGAGTCCCAGTTTGGGTCTCATTCTATAATCGATTCGATTACGGTCTCTGCTCTGTGGGGTTCCTAGCTGGATCGCGGCATTATTGGCCTCGATCTGTGGGGTCTCGTTTCTGCTGCGTGTTTTCCACCTACAGTTTTCAACAGAACTCGTGGTTAGTCGCGCTGCTTTATCCGACATGATCTAATTAGTTCATTGGCTGACAAAATGACACGAAATATGCGACCTCAATAAGCAGAATTTCACTCCGAACCCCCCAGAAAAGTGGTGTTGGGGGAAAAATGGGAAAATCACAGAGTTAAAAAAGTTTCTGCTGCTGCTGGCATTATGTGCACAATGCGTAACGTGAATTTGGATCATTAAACTAAAATCTAACCATGCTACGTGTCGCTCGACTCATACTCATATCGATCCACAACTCCGGATGTCGCTTCCGGCTTATTGTCCACGCTTCTATTTATGCTCTACCCAGAACACAAAGGCGCGGTGTGGGGTACTCTTTTTTTGTGGAAAAGTGTTAGCTATTGACCTCAGAGCGGTGGCTGTACTCTTACTTGAAAAGACTCGAATTTACACTGAATACTTTCCAACTTTGGTGAAATTCATCGCAAAAGAGAGTATCTCATGTGAAGGATCTGCGGAAGGCTGAAGTGATGGGTATTCTGCGGCAGACGATGGAAAGGACACAGTACTTGCCGCTTTCCTTGGATACACATATTGTAGGGATCATTTCAACACAGACATCGATTCATAATCCAAGCAGAAATTGCTTATTATTCGAACCTTCTTTTGGACATTAATCATTATTTGGGGAACACACACATGCTTTATAATTTGTTCTCTAAAGTCCTTGCCACGTGGATCACCTTAGAAATTCAATTTAAAAATACTTTCGTTCGCGTAAGTCCTTAGATCTCAATATCCTTATTGAAGTTCCCTTCGTTCTCATTAAATCAAGCACATAACTAATCAAGTAAATCAATCTACACCTTAAATTGTATTTGTATATATATGTATATATACCCTTTAAAGCCGCAAGGATAATATTGAAAATAAAACAATTTGATGGATCGCCCTGAACCGAATGCTACTGGCGGGTAATAATTATTTTAATTTTGGGGAACAGACCCGACCGATCGTTAGAATATGGCGCGACAAACTGAATTCAGAAATTGAACTCCGCATTGGTCTGCAGTGGGATCGGTGGTTGGACCATTACGATTACCATTACCATTACCATTGCCAGAGCTGGCCCATTGCGATTACCATTAGCGGGGGCCGCAGTCGTGGCAACAACTCCATGGCAACAATGGGCAGAAAGGGGAATTAATTAGATGTGGAGACGACAACAAAGAGCGGATTGGACAATGTTCTAAATGCTCCCATACATGCATACATACACACATACGCGGGGATTGCCATTCAAATGTTAATCAGTGCGGCGAACAGACGAGACCAGACCAGACCGGGGTTGACAAAAGCCACCCAACCTCTCCCCAACTCCATATTCCCGACCATCGCAGCCGAATTGGGTGTGTTGGGTGTGTTGGAGCCCCGTGCTGGTTTGAGGGGGAGCACAGCCTCTCCGTTCTGGCCGAATGACACTTTGGCTGGTGAACGTTTCATGGACATGGGCGACTTTCCCAGCTCTGAAGGGCATGCAACAGCAGCGTCTGCTCTGATCTGCACTGCTATGCTTTGCCTCTGGCTCTGCCTCTGCCTCTGCCCCTGCCACATGTCCAGCTAAACGATCGCCGCTCTTCATTGTACCGCGTTGGGTCAGATCATGACAATGCGTGTCACGTTTGAATAAGTTCGAGGCTGGCTGCAGCTAACAGCCAGAGACACTCAGCATCTCCTCCTCCTCAACAGGTGCACCTGTCGCCGCTGGGTGTGCGTGGGCCGCCCCCATTGTTGCGACGCTGAGTGTCATTGGGCGCGGCAGCGGCCAAACGAGCCATGCAAATGCAAATGTCACTCCGCTGCCCCAACTTTTGTTTTCACAAACCACTTGCACATATGGTCATCGTCTGCATGGAGCCAGTATAGCACTGGCTCTCCCTACGTACCATGGTACTGCAGGATACAGGATGCATTGGAGGTTCACTGACAGTAATTTGTACTCTAGGCCGACGCTCAAGACCCAAGGCCTACGCTTGTGGGCACACCTCCTCCTGTTTTGAGCAACTCGCACTGCATCGATCGATTTCCATACCTGTCACGGCTATGCCGCGATTAACTTGTAATGCGATGGACCTTCTGGTTAGTCTCTGTGAGTGGTTGGATCGTTCAATGAACCCAGCTCGAAATTCGCGTGACTGCTCGGGTGCCCCATTAGATCATCAGCATCATTAAGAACAATGAATAATATCATATAAATTCATGTTAAATTCAGCTCCGCTTCTGTTTATTCACAATTTTTGAAGCGTATAGCTAAACATTATCATCCAAAATTATAGACAAACCGAACACCATCTAACCGTAGAAGAGTTCAATCAACTTGAGTCATAAAATCCCTGCGAATTCGCACTGTGACACACAATCTACCAGGAGACAAGTCAAGGAAGGGAAACCTGCGGATTTCTAATTAGTCCCTAGAGAGACAACTATCAGCACATTTATTTATTACTTTCGGGTGAAGAGGATGCACGAACTACTCATGCAAATTCCAATTATGGAGGGGCAACAGGTTATAATTTTTCCAAACATCCACTACATGGACTCCCGCAGTAAGGCCAGTAGTCTATAGCACTGCTTGAGCACCTGGAAAGAGGGAAAGGTAATGACTACTAGCATTGGGTGTAGCTGGAGAATACCCTTACAATCATGTAGGTGCCCAGAGATAAGGGCATAAAAGGTCTGGCCACGTAGAATAATGGTTTTTGGGCGCGTAGCATGATGAAGGCGATGTCGCGCTGAATGGGCGCGGACTTGGTGTGCCAGTCTGAGATTTCGAATGCTGCCTGGCCGACCTCCCCGGACTGAAAAATAAAGTGAGAATCAAGGCAAGTCAAGAGGAGGGTGCTCCAAAGACATACCAGATAGAGGACGAGGTTTCCGGCCACGCACCAAGCGGACAACTGGACGAATCCGACCATAACAAAGAGCACGAATTTCGCGGCCATCTTGGGATCGTCTGCAGCGGCTACCATGGTCTCGAAGGTAGAGATCGATATCATAGCGAAACTGGCTATCATCTGGGCAATGAAGGTGACGTAGAAAGCACGATTGCTCTTGTCCACCAGTCTGTTAGTGGAGACGCACTGCATTAGCAGAAGACCCGCATCTGCCCTGCACTCACCTGATAATATGCTGGTGGTAGCGAACCACCCGACAGAACTCCACATGGAACTGGGTATCGCTAACGGACCCCAGATCCCCCAGCTTTCGGAGCTCAATGCTGAGGAGTTTGAGATTGAGGGCCGTCTGGAGAATCGTGCTGATGCCCAGGAGATCCACAAACAGAATGGTTGACAAGTTGTGGAGCGAATTGACGCTCAGCCACCCAAAGGCAATCCGGTAAGTCCACGGATGGAGGTCCTGCCGATGCCAGCCGAAGGGCAGGAACGAATGGTACGGCAGTCGGCCCTCGCCCAACAGCGGCTGTAACAAAATGGCCAGGCTGAAGGCGTTCACTAGTGAGAAGATCCCGATACCAAAGTACGCCTCTCCCATGTAGCAGTAACGCTGCCACATCAAAATTTCTTCATCATCATGAATCGGCCTGACCACCTCGTCGTAGTAGGCCAAATCCCTTATGACCTCGTCGATCTCAGTGGCCCGCGCATGCATGCAGTATGACTTGGTGCAGATCAGACCAAGCTAAAAGGTACGAGTATTGAGATTGAGTGAGTTTCTGCGTGAAAGTCGTAGCCTACCCCAATGAGCCACACAAAGTCGTCACCCATGTCGATGATACTTGAGGACTCGTGCACGCCACAGACCATTGAAATGAACATCAGAGTCTGGTTGAACAGGAGGATCCAGTTGATCCGTCGGTAAACGGGTTTCGAGGACATCTTCTTGTTGGGGTAGTGACACAGCGCACTGCAAGAATAGTTAAGATTACAATCGAAGGTAGACGGTGGATGGTGCTAGCTGCTGGCATACACCAGGGCGGCGCGTTGGGTGTGCATGAGGAGACGAGGGATTCGGCCAGGGGTCTGCTGGCGCTGCACAGACCGGAACTCTCCCCAGAAGTCGCGAAGCAGGCGAAGATATGATGTGTAGTCAGGGTCTGCCATCGGAGGTGGTTGGACTGTGCTCCTGGCGGCTGGTCAGGTCCTTTTTATACGGCTCACAGAACGGGTGTAATTACAATGTTAATATGGAAACATTTTGTGAGCCACGCCCACAATGTAAATAAACAGAACATCTGCAGAAAATCGCACTGCCATTGTGGATTGTTATACGATGGGCCCACATTCATGGCAAAAAGTTTTGCTAAAACGGAGAATCATTGGGCTCTACTTTTCTGCATCGCAGAGCAGGAATGATCTTCTAAACAAATAAATGGTGGCGAAAGCTTAGACTTGAGTTCAATCAACTTGAGTCATTAACTTCCTGTGGATTCACACTTCCAGTGGACAGATTTGCATAAATGTACCGTGGATGATTTATGACTTAATCAGGAAAGACACCAACATCCCGCAGGCGGCCAGGGGACATCCATAACGAGAATTGAACACACAACATAAATCCAGTTCCACATGTCCGCGGCCTCGGTCTTTATTCAAATTTCTCCAGCACACTTTTCGTCCCAGTCGCAGTCGCAGTCGCAGTCCCCGTGATCATTTAGTGGGATGCAATGATTGGTACTGGTTCTGGCAACGGGCTGGCAGTGCGGGGGGCCGGGGCAGGGGCAGGCAGGCCACTCGGGTGTCGTGTTTTGTACGGACAACTTTACATCCGTTTTAAACGGTAATTCCACTGCTGTCTGGCGCTCCTCAGCCGCATTTAGCAAGGCCATTGGATTCAATCTAGGATTACCCATGACGAACCAACTGATTGTGGGCTATTGACTTCCAGTCCGAGTCCGAGTCCGAGCACCATTCCCAGTCCAGTCTTGGCACAAGCCTTGGCTAATAGGTGTGTTCGTAATAAAGTGTTTTTTATTGCAACCACCAGCATTGGCCGCTGGCTTGACCATATAATCGGCCCATAATGGCAGAGCCATTATAACAAATTGATATCAATTTAACAACAATATATGCACAAGTTGCGTCGATGACTCGCCATTGAACTCTGTGCGGGATTCAAGTGCTGGGAGCGATTGCACCACTTGCACATGCACATGCACATGCACACGCGGAGGCACGTCCACACAGCCGGTTGAATTCTGATGGGGCAGCAACGGCAACAGAGCAGTAACAGTATAGACCAGTTCCGAGTTGGCAAAGCGCCGTTTGATGCTCTAATTTATACAGCATACTGATGAGTTGACCGCCGTTCTGGAATTGTTCTCCTACGGGTTTGGATTCGGGTTCGGGTTCGGTTCAGTTTCGGTTTGCTGTGCTATGCTTTGGTCACGAAAAAAGTGGCTCCAACATGGAGCACACCTGACCAGAGGCACACAGCCACACAGCCGCACAGAAACCTGCACACAAATGGAAATATTTGTAGCGGTTAGCGTTTAATTGAAATGCATTTGGCTTGTTTGCTGTCAATCAGGGGCTGAGATGGATGGTAGGCCATGGAGCGGAATTGTTCCCGAAGATCGTTCCCGATGAAGGAAGCCCGAAGGGTAATAAAGCCATCGTTCAGGTGGCACGCAACACCCCATTGCGCTGTCATACGCCACTTTGCCGAACCATCTATGTACTAGCTGTGCCAGAGATCCACTGTCCACTCCATACGCCAGGGGGTGCCTCGATAATGATTCTATCCAAATCATAAGGAAATATTTATGCAATGTTCACAGATCACGAAGGCTTAAGTAGTTTCATGGGAGCCACGAAACGTTTACAGCCAAGCCGACTCCTTATCAAAGTCCAGAGACCCAGCCTCTGGGTCTAGTCGAATGCCTAATGTCAAGGAGAACCACAGCGGAGGTACTTGCATCTTCCATTAACCGTTATGGACTCGTAGCCAATGTGGACCGGGCATTCGATGAGCAGATTTTCATGTTCATTGCAGAAGCAATTGGTACGAGTACTCGTACTCGTACTCGTACTCGTACTCGTACTCGTAGTAAGTGCCCGATGACCGCAGACATGGAGAAAAGAAGAACACATTTCTCAATCGTTATTTATGAATACAATTGCAAGTTTTTTGCTCAGACCGAGCAATGGTGTGAGTACCGACCCGCTTGGAGCGTATCAATAACTAGCCAGATTACAATATACTACTCGTATAGCAGCGGACAGTTGCACAGTCCTGCTGCACATCCCAGACTTGAACTGGTTTCCCGGCTGTCCGCGGCAGCAGGCAGATCAGACGATGCGCCGCAGCCCCAGGCCGGGCAGCGACGTGTGCCCAAAGTTTGCATAAGTTGAGGCTGGCTGGACCTCGACATGGACATGGACGTGGACATGGACGTGGACCTGAACCTGACTTCGTTTTACAGTTAAAGATTTATGGATGATGTATGGGTAAATGGCAACGAGATACGCGGGTAATTGTGTGTGGGTAACGCATTGCTAACTGGTCCACCAAATTTATTCCAGTCAGACAGATAAACGGAGCACAGACGATCCAGATCCAGATCCAGATGCAGATCCAGGTCCAGGGGCATTCAGGGGCAGCAACACAAGTATCAGAGTCGATTTCATATTCAGAGATTCCGATTGAAATCGTAACGGTTACGAGAACACAAAAAACTAATTCGAACATCGAGAGTGGAGTCATAAAATGCAGATAGGCCAAGGCATCGAGCCTCGTCATAAAAGTGCAGAGCAGAAAAACAAAAGAAACAGAAACAGAAACAGAAAATCGAAGGCCCATTTTTCCAGAACTGTATATGGATCGAGATAATGTGAAGTAAATACCAATCGGGGCGGGGGATAGATATCATTAGATGGAGATCTACAAAACTCAAACTTTCTAAATGACGGGCGGCACCGGGGCAACTGCAACGGCAGCAAAAAACCAAAACTGTAAATGCAGCTAAAGCAAATAGTTGTTGGATGCATTCGCAGCGGCGTCGCCAACTAAAGTATAATTATTGCCTAGACGAGATGGGAATGGAGACAGAGACAGAGACTGCCCCAGACGCAGACGCAGATGCAGAGGCAAACGGGGCTGATACTGGCGCTGGTGCTGAAGCGGATCGGATCAGACTCTGTGGGGCAGAGAGGCGGCGGCACGTACGCAGCGGCACAAGGAGATGCCAATATTTCTCTATATATTTCTATAGTTATTTGTTTTGTGTGCTTCCCCATCCAGTGGCTCTAACTGTCTTTAATTGAAACCAGTTTGCTGTAATTGTTTTTTTGGCATCGCCGGGTAAGAGTTGGCCCCGCTGCCTTATATGTTATAACTCGCTTATGTCAAACAGATTGTCTGTGTAATTTGAGCAGCCCCACAGCACAGCCAGCACACAGCACAGCCCAGCCCCGCCCCATTCCCACCTGCTTAGATGATCGTATTTTCAAAAGTTTTCACTTGTTCTCGGGCCTCTCCAAGATCTCCTGCCATCCATCTACCCAAATGAAGATGGACTATGCAGCTGCACTCGAGTGTGACTAAAATGAGTAGATTGTCATAAATTATGGTGAACCAATGACAAATGAAGCTGCTCCGAATCGGCGGAGGATGGGCCTTTATCGAATTGGAGCATGTCCCGCGACACGGGTTCAAGCGGAGAACTTCGAACGGTACCCATTTCTCATGGCCCGTACACACGGCGCATACTTGATGGAAGAACCTGTCCTAGGCCCAGTCCCAGCCCAGTCCCAGTCCCAGTCCCAGTCCCAGTCCAGGTGCTATGGCATACCCCCTGTTTAATTAGTCGGCAGTGGGAGATCTTCGCCTTCACACATCACAGCACATCTGCAGTTCCTTATACTACAATTTGTCAAAACACAATTCCAACTTATACTTTCGAGATATAAGAGCGGAAAGCAGAAAAGAAAACTTGTTTAAGAGCGAAAAGTTTTCTCTGTCGATGTCGCTAGCTTTGGCTTTGGCTCCGGCTTTGGGTCTGCCTCGAGCCGCTTGGCTCGGCAGCTCCAGCAACTGGCTCCAGTGGCAGTCGCTTCTACGACGGCGACCTTGATAGACGTCTGCGCGGTTCCAGCCAACTCAAGGAAAATCTAAAGAAAAGCCCAGAGCCGCAAAGAGTCGCGAAGAAAAGTCGCAAAGGTGCCGCGGTCTTCGCTTTCTTTGTTGCAAAAGAAAAGAAAAACCATTTCTTTAAAACAATAACCGTAAGCGGGGGCTAGTGCTGTTTTTGTGTTGTTTTGCGCGGCACGAGATGTTTCAAAAATGTGGCCACAAATGATGGCAAATGTGCAAAATGTGCTGCAAGAGAAATGTGTGAAAATGCCAGCAAATGCAAAGTGAATTTAACAAGCAAACGAGCCAAAGAGCCAACGAGCCAACGAGCAGACGGAAAAGAAAATAAGGAAAGCCCGCCGCCGGCGAGCAGTCCTTCGCAAACGAAAGCCCATCTGGAGAATCGGGAAATTTATAGCCCCAAGGTGTTAATTTATTCGCCACCTCGACTGGGCTCTGCTGTAAGTAAGAGTGGGATGCATGCTCCCTCTCGATCTAGATCTCGGAAAAGGAAGGGCTGTACTGTGTTGCCCTTGGTCGGGCTTATCAGACCATTGCCAATTGAGTTTAGGTCACTGGGCACTCTCCCAAATTGAAAATCTTTCTGTTTTTTGGATTTCTGGGGCTCTTATTATTATTTTATTTTTTTTTGGAGAAAGTAATTTGCCGAACTCCAGTCACAGAGCCATGCAAACGCCGGCCATTGCCCACACTTAGAGACGAATCGCCGTCGCCTCCGTTCAGTGCACTGTCGTAATTTGGCTTTAACAACTAGCCGAAACCGTTGGCCAGTTAGCCAGAGCAGCAGCCCTATGCTGGAGAAGAGCCAAGAGCAGAGCACGGCCATAAGTACATATTAAAGCACATTAAGGCGGCGAGCAAATGATGCGCTCCTCTGGCCACACAATGGACCTGTAGGAGCGGCGGCGCCGCTAACACAAAATAATAAAAATAACAGAGGAATAAATTTGAAATTTGTTATGCTGGGATCGGGGAGCTGCTCTCGGAGTGGCTTCTGCCGCAGCGCCTG